TACTTCATTTTACAGCCATATTTATCCCAGGCCCACCGTGCCTTCGGAGGGTTCTTGCGCTCGGCCCGCTCCGACACGAAAAGCCCCATTGTGAATAACAGTAGTGCGGTAGTTGACTCCTTCAGGGTCACTCCGTCACTGGCAAGCAAGGTTGCATTCACTACACCATCGCCCGGCACAATCCGAGCCATGGCGGTTGCTCCGGGCATTCGAGTTCATTTTGAGGAAAGTTGACTCCCCATATTTTGTTAAGACTGTTTCGTGTTTAGGTAATGATCAATCCTCCAGTGAGTATGCTTAAGTGTTGAAGGGTATGCACGGATTTTGAGTTATTGTTTACCAATTATGAGTCAATTACCATTTGTGATGAATTCATATTTTTGTAGATTTACGGTTTTCTCTTGTTTCAAATGCTATCGGAATCTACATGATTAATGAGTGAATACAAATGGATAAGTCAATTTACCTGGATAAACGTCAACCCCCCCCCCCCCCCCTTGCCTCTGTGGAGTATACTTACAGTGTCCAAAGTAACGCCCATAGCTATCAAGGATGCAGACCAAGTTTTCGTGTTATAGCTCGCTCTGGTCTCCCCTGACTGTGGTAGCGGCAATGCCAGTCCTGCAGAGAAACACGAAGAGCTCAGCGTAAGATTATGAGCCTTAAAACAATTCATAATCATGCATCCCTGGGTCTTCTCAAAAACTGCTTTGCCATCCCTAAAATTGCAGTACTTATTACATACATGACCTTTTAAAAGTACTTAACTCTTGCAACTCATTGGCGATTCTGTAAAAAGAGCAGCCACTGATTCATGCAGTGTCAGCTTTGGTTGCTGACAGTTAAAATCCCTATTAGTCTTGAGGATCTTGAGATTCGGAAGGCAACAGACATACTGTTTCTGCTTTCATATCCTCCGATATATATGACGATTATAGCAGACACACAGATCGCTCAGGGCAGTCGGACTGTTCACACGCTCCTTATGTGCTCCTGTAGCTATGCCCGCCTGACATTCTCGGAAGGTAGCCGTTGAAGTCTTAAAACTCCTTCCGTGGTGTAAGGTCACCGGCAACGTTCTGGTCATGATGTCTATTCGGTGCCAGCATAGATAGGCAAATAGCATTAAATGCCATCCTAAATAAGTTGGCTTTGAAGTTAACAGAGTGGAGTTCAGACTGGTTATACACACTAGCCTGAATAACAAGCAAACGACCCACTCAGTCAACCAGGGGCTAACATCCCAACTGCCCATTAGCCAACATGAAATGCCAAACCACTAAGGGGTAAAATGGCATGAATAAGAATTAAAGATAAAGCCCTAGTTCCTCAGGCAGGCGGGCTAAACTATGGCTATGTTTCGGACAAGCAAAGGTGACGGTCTATAAAGTAGACGCCCAAAAATGTTTTTTATGCAATCGCTAATGATGAGACGATCGAAAAACTGTTGTCCACAGATTGCAAAGCAATATTCCAAAAAAAAAAAAAAAACAATTCGAGATCGAGACCCTCCAGAATACAATGCCATGAAGACCGTAACTATCCGAAACATCGATCACAAATCATTAATTATGGAGAAAGCGAAATAAAAGAAACGATCGAAAGAGAGAACGGCTGGGCAAAGGTCGAACAGGTGATTAAACTACCTAACGTGCCAACAATCATCAAGGTGCGGTCAGAAACCACCCAAATGGCCAAGAAAGCTCTGGAAAGTGGAATGCTGTTATTACATCAATCCATTCCCTCAAGATTTATCGAAAAAGATATTTTCATAAATCTAGTTCCATGCTATAGGTGCTATAACTATGACCATATAATAAAAGGCTGCAAAGAACCAGAAACCTATACAGCTTGCTCAGAATGAGCTGCAAAGGACCACACTTACAAAAATTACAACGATAATGCAAAGAAATGTTTAAATAGCAACGGTGACCACCGCACGGTAGCCGCCAAATGCCCAACCAGGAAAAACATAATAAAAGAAAGAACTAAACAAGAGAGACAGGCACTTAGGAGCCAAACAACCGCCACCCCCTCGTTTACCCAAGCAAGCTATGCGAGGGCAGTAACGGAAACAAGAACTACCACTGCTGTCAATCCGGAGGCAATAATAAAATCCTTGCCACCGAACGCCCCAGCGAACATAATGAGTGCGATCATATTTGCATACATTCAGGAAGCCAAAGAGCCAGGCAGCTTCCAGAAAACGATCGATGAGATGTATGACCTAAACAACATCCCGAGAGTCAGATTTCCATCTCAGAACAATGCCAGAGAAACACTCCCTGTATTAATGGGCAATAACACAGTCGTGGGCTCAAAAGCAGGGACAGGGAAGGAGCAATGGAACAAGAGGAAACCAGCAACAGAGAGGCAGAGAAAAACATCGCCAACCCAGGAGACAGCCGCAAAGAAAACGCAAGCGAAGAAATGTCGCAGAGAGGGCAGACTGAAAGCGACGAGGAATGCCGACTCCCGCGCCCGATACACCACCAGAGGAAACCCGCCCAAAGCCACGAAGACAACCTGAACGAAAAGCCAGCGCGACGAGAGTGAAGCTGCCAGAGATCAGATTACGAGCATGGATTCATCCCCAGAGACCATCGCACTCAGTTCTCACAGACGAAACTAATAAAGTATACATATTACCATCCTGATATATACGACGACCAAATCATCAAAGATCAGATTCACAGCAGAATCATAGACCTGAGTGCTTACAGGATACAATATGTAAAGGAAGACGCATACGACAGCATCAAAAACGGGACGAGAGGCGAACACCATACAGCCAGAAAGTCTTCTACAGACCCTGATATATACAAAAGTCTCCAACACATACCTGAAGGAAGACCCAGACATCATAATAATCAATGCTGTCTCCAGAATAACGAGCTGATAAAGATCTTTGGCTACTATATCTACCAAAGAAACACACTAAATGAAGGCGATGCAGGAGTTGCCATATGCATCAAAAGAAAAATAAAGCACAGAATCATAGACGACTTTAATGAGGACTTCCTCGCAGTTGAACTGCAGACAAACCCAGGGAAATTCATAATCGGCACAGGATACATGCCACCCCGACGCCCACAATTTCCATACCCAGATATAATGCAAATAATGCGAACCAACATCCCTGCATATATAATTGCTGACTTAAACGCCAGACACCGAACGCTCGGTCAGAACAGCAACAACCTCATGGGGATGAACTATTAAAGCTCATAAACCAAAACATGATCACCCACATTGGCCCGGACTTCGATACCTTCGTCAGTACAAGAGGCAAAGGTCGTCCAGATATTATTCTTGGAAAAAAAACATCCACATGAACCATGCTATCCAACAAGGACCATAAACCACATCAGACCACCTACTCATAGTCTTCACCATAGCAACATCACCCATCATGATCACAAAAGGAAAGGCCTAAAAAGAGCAGACTAGGAACTTTTCAGGAAAGACGTAGATGATAATTCAACCACAGAACACGCAGAGGATACAGTAATCAATAAAGAATATATTAACACCGAAATTGACGCATGGTATACTACCGTCGAAAGAGCAATGGTTAAAGCCATACCCAAGAAAAAGTACGCTACTGTACCCACCCACTAACAAGTGACCGCCTGAAACTGCTAGAATGGAGATACAAAAACATTTTAAATGCCGTCGAACAGATTGGCTGGACACCAGAATCACGCAACCAATACAGAGAAATACAGGAAGACCTGAAGGAAGAAAGCAAAACCTAGTACACAAACCACTGGCATAACCTGATAAAAACAACGGAACTTGAATACAACAACCCTAAAACATTTGTGGGGGAAATCAGAAGGTTAATGGGAAGCAAACATAATCAGACTCCATAATACTAAATGAAAGAAACGAGAATTGACAGCAAACAGAAAGAGGTTTTCAGAGAGTTCTGGAAAAACATCTTCAACATCAGTCCGGAAGAAAACAGAACATTTGACATACAACACGAAGCCCAGGTAAATGACTGTCTCTCAGTGAACAAGCACAGACTGATACCGTACAATGAAGCAAATATAAACAGGTTGCAAGACGACAATACTCTAACGAGACCAATATCAGTAGAAGAAATAAAAGCGATCATAAGTAAATTTAAAGACAAAGCACCGGGCGAAAGCGGAATCAGAAAGACAATTATGCAAATGCAAAAGCTACCGGAACCAGCAATAGCAAAACTAAAAGAAATCTTCAACTGGTCCTTTTCGATGGGTTATTTTCCCGACAAGTTTTAAAAGGCGGTAATGATCCTCGTACCAAAAGCAGGAAAAGACCCGAGGAAAGCCGAAAATTACCGACCAACCTCTTTATTAGAAATCCCCGGAAAGATATTAGAGAAGATTATTAACAATCGTATAACGAGCTTCATGGAAAGACAATCTCTTTAATATCAACCAATATGGTTTCAGAAAAGGAAGAGGTACACAACAAGCAATTGCTGCCATATACGAAACCATTGCCACTTCACAGAGAAACCGCCAGCAGTACAACATACTTTGCAGAGCCATAGCCAAAGCCTTTGACAAAATGTGGAAACCAGGACTGCAATATAAAATATTGCAAATCAATGTACCAGATATCATTGAAAAGATCCTCTGCAATTTCGTGGAGGAAAGAACAGCAACTACGACTCGACACAATTGCAGGACCAAAATTCCCACTACTGAGCGGGGTGCCGCAAGGATCAACATAAGCCCTACTCTCTTCATATTCTACACAGCTGACCTCGAACGACCCAACAACAACTGCGTGGATGTCAGCTTTGCCGATGATATAACACAGATCATGCTGTATCCATTGAAGATGCAACAATTCCAGAACCGAGTACTCAGGACAGCAACAAAGAGAAACGTAGAAGACACAGCTTTCAATATCAGAACTGCACGATAAATACAGAATAGAGCCAGTAAACATAAGACTCTATATACTTTCCAAAAAAGTTTGGGATAAAATGGCCATCACAAATGAAGAATTGGCCAGAACTTCCGAGGATCAGCCCACTGAGAACCCTCACGGAAGAGACCACAGCTGGTGGAGGAGAATCGCTCCGCACTTGGAGAACGGACCGCCAGATCCATACTATGCAGCAGTGTTGTAAAATAGACAAAACACTGCCTTACTTCAATACTAACAGCAATGTACAAAGATTGTAAATACTGTTTATAATCATCTTAAGATTCGTATTAATTACTTTTGTTACGAAAATAACACAAAAGAAAGCAGAAGGTGGGCTTTCCCCGCCACTTTTAATCTCTTGCTATTTCATTTTCCGGACTTGTTCTTCGCATGATCTAGCTAGATCACCCTCAAGGACCTCCATCCTTTCATATCCGGCTGCAAAAGAAAGAAAAAAAAAAAGCAGAACAGACGAGGAAATGATCCCTATTCAGAGATCTAAACTGGTGTGGGATTTCCTATCAGCCAAAGCCTCTCTCAGCCGCATGCTGGACGAAGGGGATCAAGTGTCCAGAGTTCGTCTCTTGACTGCTGTTCAGCCTCAAGTGGGGCGTGGATCCTTGCGATTCCTGTGCCCTCTCTGGGAGCATATCCCTACGCTGACACCCTTCGTCATGCAATCGCTCAGTGGGTCGGTGCTCTCTGATGCCATCCACATGAATGTAAATGTGGAGGTCAAAGGGACTCCTTTGGGCATCATGCCCTTCCTGCAGTGCTGAACGGTTATCTTGGTATTATCAGAGAGCTTCTTCACATTGCGTTCAAAAATCATAATCAACCTCTTCTGCCGAAAAGTGGAGAAGATTTCCATAAACTACGATTCCAGGTCCATGAGCATCTCGTCTTTCTCTCTATTATATATATATATATATATATATATATATATATATATATATATATATATATATATATATATATATATATATATATGTATATATATATATGTATATATATATACTATATATATATATATATATTATATATATATATATATATATATATATATATATATATATATATATATATATATATTATATATATATATATATATATATATATATATATATATATATATATATATATATATATATATATATATATATATATATATATATATATATATATATATATATATATATATATATAT